ATCAGCCCGCACACCGAAGGATTGCCGCTTCGACTCCTGGTCCAGGGCACATACCTGGGTTGCAGGTTTGACCCCCAGCCCCTGTCCAGGTGCAGGCAGGAGGTAACCAATCAATGTATCTCCCTCACATTAATGTTTCTCTCTCTCTATCTCCCTCCCTCCCTCTCCTTCCACTCTCTCTAAAAAAATCCATGGAAAAAAATATCCTCGGATGAGGACTAACAACAAAATTAAATTACCGGTGCTGTTATCTCTGTATTGTGTGGCCACAAAAGCAGCCCAGAGAAGGGAAAGCGGAGCTCAGGCAGGAGAGGTATGGGACCACCAGTTCTGTTCGCCAGAGCCAGGGCTCACTGGGGCGGAGGATGGGCTGGCGGCGGGACATGTGGACCGGGAGGCAGCAGGAAGCGAAGGTGATGAAGGTGGCTGAGCCCTCCTACTAGCCACCTTCCTGGACACTGAGACACTTCCTCCGGCCCTCTGGGACATCTGGGGTCCAATGGGGGGGGTGCAGAGCCTCCCCTTCCTCCTGGCTGTCTTTCAAGGCTGATCTGGGCAGGAGGCAGCAGGGTAGTGAGTTTGTGGGTGGCTGGATTGGGGCCAGAGGAGCGAGCAGCCAGATTGAGTGGGAAGGTGACAATTTATTCTTTTAAAGAGAGAGAAAGAAGGAACGAAAATGAGCCTTGAACTCTGCTGGTGTGTTCTTTCCTTAATAAGCTCAGTGGTCCCAAAGGCTTTGACTCCCATCCCAGCTGGGAGACCTGGGAGGCCTTTGGTGCTTCCAATCAAAGTAAAATACCTCGTAGTTTGGCAGCCTGGTTTCCAGAGCAACAAGCTCCTTTGTGCATTCCTTTCCCCCACTCTCCCTCTGTCACCTCCTGGGCCTCTTCTCTTGCCCCACTAGCTCCCCCCACTCCACACCTCAGAATCTTATTTGCAATTCTCCAAATGCTCCATTCTCTCTTCCACCCTTGGGCCTTTGCACATACCGATCCACTACCTGGAACACTCTTTCTCTGATTCTTATTCAACCCTCGGGTCCAAGTTGAGACATCACCCGCTCCAGAAAGCCTCCCTGATCTCCAAATGGGGGTTATGTGTCACTTTTAGGTGCTCCTGTGACAACACCACATATTTCCTCTGTCTGGGAAGGGGACTCTGGTGCCCTGTTATAATCACCCATGGGCTCCTTGAAGACAGGGACAGGGCAGCCACCAGTTCAACTAGGAAGAGAATAGGGGCAAACATATAACCAGCTTCCAAAATAATTTTGGGGGCTGCTCCCTCAAGTATTTGTGTGCATGACCCATATTCATAAATTACATATTAGTGTCATCTTTGGTCTGTGCTTATTTTTCTAATGTCGATGTCCATAGACATGAGGTCAGACGCCACCTCTGTGTAGTTTGCCACACTGTATCTCCAGCACGCGGCCAGCTGTCTGAGACCAGGTAAGTGCTCACATAGGTCTTGTTGAATGAATAAGGGAGTAAATGAAGGGCCAGCCAATCAAGACTTCGACAAAAGGAAGTGGGCATAAATGCAGCAGGAATCTCTAAATTAGATCTGGAGCCAGACAGCCTGGCTGCATAATTTAGCACTGCCACTTAGGAGCTGTGTGATCTTAGGCAAGTTACTCAGCCTCTCTGTGCTTTTGGTTTCTCTGTCTGTAAACTGGGGGTGACCTACATCATAGGATGTGTGAAGATTAACAAATGGATATGTACAAAGCACTTGACACAATGCCTAGCTCAGATGAAGACTCAGTAGTGTTGGCCTGGTTATTCTGTTGCCATTACTATCTGTCAAGCTATAAAACTACAGAAATCCCTTCAAAAGAAAGAGATTAACAGCCCAGCTGGTGTGGTTCTGTTGGCTGAGTGTTGTCCCATGCACCTCAAGATCCCAGTTTGATTCCAGATCAAGGCACATGCCTGGGTTGAGGGCTCAATCCCTAGTAGGGGGCACGCAGGAGGCAGCCAATTGTTTTAAAAAAAGAGAGAGATTAACAAAGGCTACTTTGGGGTTTAGGCTAATGAAAGACATCCCTGGGATCCTTCTATTCCCAGTTTCTAAAGTCCCAGATGAAAAGTGGGTGGGAAAACCAGGCAGAGTGGAATTCATTACCATCCCCGTGCAAGCCCGAGGCTCGTTTTTGCTTCCCAGGTCCTCTCCATCAAAGGCCGTTGCTTGCCCAGGTGGAAACGGGAATAATTGAGCAGTGACCTGTCATAGCCCCATTTTCTGGTATGTTTCACCCCAGGCATCCATAACCATCATTTGCTTAATAGAGAAAATCAAAGGGATCAGGAGTGAGGAGGAAGGGGTGTAAGTAGCGCTGTGGGGCCACACCTCAGGGAGATTGTTTTCCGTGTGGGGAACTTGCTTTTAAAATAGCCTATGTGGCTTAGTTGGTTGGGTGTTGTCCCATGCACCAAAAGGTCACAGGTTCCATGCCTGATCAGGGTACTTACCCAGGTTTTGGGTTCGTACATCAGTATTTCTCTCTTTCTCTCTCTCCTGCTCTCGTCCTCTCTCTCTAAAATCAATAGAAACATATTTTTTAATGTTTTTTATTTTAATAATTAATGTATTTATTTTTGTTACAGATGTTTCTCCTTTTTCCCCCCACTAATCCCCCCCCTCCCTCCCTGCCCTGTCCCCAGCTTTGTTGTCCATGTCCACTGTTCATGTATACATGCATATAAGTTCTGTGGTTTATCTCTCCTCCACCACCCCCTCTTCTGGGGATTGTCAGTCTGTACCCCACTTCCACGTCTCTGGGACTGCCCCGTTCCTCAGACTGTTATGTTCATTATATTCCACAAATACATGAGATCATGTGGTATCTGTCTTTCTCTGCTTGGCTTGTTTCGCTTAGGATAATACTTTCCAGGTCACTCCATGTCATCTCAAAGGGTAAGAGATCTTTCTTTCTTACTGCTGCATAGTACTCCATTGTGTACATGTACCACTGCTTTTTTTATCCATTCGTCTACTGATGGACATTTGGGCTGTTTCCAGATCTTAGCTATTGTAAATAGTACTGCTACAAACATGGGGTACATATATTCTTTCTGATTGGTGTTTCAGGCTTCTTAGGGTATATTCCTCGAAGTGGGACCACTGGGTCAAATGGAAGTTCAGTTTTTAATTTTTTGAGGTAACACCATATTATAAATAAATAAATATAAAAAATAGGCATCAGGCTTTAGGACCCTGGAGAAGCCTTGGAGCATCTTCTAGGACCCAGGATCCTCCCTTGCCCCTCCCTCCCAGCCCTTCTAATAATTTTTAAATGTTTTTTTTTTTAATTGATTTGAGAAAGAGAGAAACATTGATTGGGTCCTCCTGCATGCCCACTACTGGGGATCAAACCTCAACCTGGGCATGTTTCCTGACCAGGGATCAAACTGGTGACCTTTTGGTGCATGGGACGATGCTCAACCAACTGAGCCACACTGGGCAGGGCCCCCTAATAATTTAATGGATCATTCAGTCTTGCTGGCCAAGCCTGAGTCGGGGAGTGAGCGCACGGATGAGTGAATGAGTGAGCGATTCTCCAGGCTCCATCCACTGGTCTGGCACATTGTAGACACAGGAACCACTGGGAGACTTGTCAAAATGCAGATTCGGACTCTGGGTCGGGGGCAGATTCTGCATTGCTGATGAGCTCCCTGGCGCTGCTGATGCAGCTCTTCCCAGAATGAATAACCTAGAAAACCAGGGTCGAGGACCTGCCTTCAGTGCTCAGTGAGAAAAGCCCAGTCATCCCAGAGTCAGTTGCCCAAAAGAAACAGTGTGTGAGTCCTTAGAGCACATTTAGTCACTGAAAACTAGTTATCTCGTGTCTAGTGCGTGCCAGGCACTGGGGAGAGGGATGGTTACAACAGACATGGACCTGAGTGGGGGAGGGGGACCCGTCCTGAACAAGAACTCACACGTGAAAGAAGACATGTGAAAGGAGCCGGGACTTGAGACTGGGGCCCTCTCATAGAGCAGAACCCCTGACAGCCCACCGTCTGGGACAGGGACTCCAGGTCCCACTGTCGGAGAGATGGATAAGAAGTCTGCTTCATCCCACACTCGGGGGGGAAAGCAAGGCCTCCCCCCTTCGCTAGTCTTCGGCGAGGTCTAGACCATTAAATGTAAGTACAATGATCCAGCAATGTCCCCAGTGCTTTTAAGCCATGGGTGTATAATAGTAATAACCGCACGTTTCAACTCTGAAATCGGAGAAATAACCTAAACTCTACTTTTAATCAGTTGTGTGGCCTGTGGCTTAACGTTTGTTCAAATACAGGCAAGCCGGGCAGCGTGGGGTCTGCGGTGATGCTCTGTGTTGCTGCGCTGCGGGGGTGTTTTATGTGCGGGGCTCTGCCTTCCACCCCAGGCAGGGTTTCCACCGGCGTGTGGGACTGGAGAGCTCTTTGGGGAGGGGCTGTCCCGTTCATTGCAGGATGGTTACAGCACCCCTGGCCTCCACCCATTGGACACCTGTAGCACTCCCTCCAACTTTGACATCCAAAAATGTCTCTAGGTATCGTCCAGTGTCCCTGGGGTCAAAATAGCTCCTAAACCACTGCTCCAGGGTGACCAACGGAGGGAGGCCTGGGATGTGGGGCTTTCTGTTTGAAAACTGGACTGTCCCTGGCAAACTGGGGTGGGTTGGCCCCCTACTTCTTTCTCTAATGGGAATAGTTAGGACGGGTAGGGGTGGGGAAAGTGGTTTAGCACCAGAAATGCCATACTCCTTCCCAGTTAGCTCAGCTAACTCCTGGACAGCCAATGAGTGCCCTTGGTTACAGTGATGGGTGGAAAGCAGATGGAAATGCTCTGCTGCTTCCCATCCATGCGAAGGGGAAACTGCTCCCAAGGAGCCGAGTCTCTCAGTGTAGACGGCAGTGCCTGAAAGTCCCCACGAAGAGCTCAGTGACACCCAGTGTCCCAAGGGGTCCTTCAGCCTCACAGAGGCATCGTGGTAATGTCCTCCTCTACCGATGCCCTGGGCTGAGAGCAGCTCCGAGGAGTGGGGACGGGCCGAGGGTCCTGAGCCCACTGAACTCCTCACGCACAGCTTTCTCCTTTGCCACGAAGAGGAGAATTCAGGGAGCAAAGTGTGAGTCCATTTAGAAAATGGCACACATTGAAAGACAGTTGGCCAGGACCAACCAGAGGGGAGGGACAAACCAGGGCTGACCCCCGTCAAAGGCAAAAGCCCAGTGGCTCTGACAGGCAGCATGGCTTGGAACCTGCCTACTTAGCACGGCTCTTTTGATTAATGCAACTGTCCGTTTCTGCAGAAAAACGCACAGAGGTACACACACACACACACAGTTTTAATTTTGCATTTAATTTCAGGGGATTCATTGGACTCCTGAAGCGCATCAGCTCCGATTATGAAACCCTGAGCTAGTCATTAATAATCATATGATTACAGAGCAATCCATATATGCCAAGTGCTTGGCAGATTTATTTGGCCCAACTAGCAACCTCATGAGTGGGTGCTAAAAGACGGCTAACCATGCGCAGCCTTGCTGATTTCCCCATGATAAAGCATCCTGTAGACTTTAAGACTAAAGACTTGGGTGTCAGGAGGCCTGGGTTGAAATTGCTCCTCCGCCACTAACTAGCAGGATAACCTTGGGCAAGTCAACCTGTCTAAGCCACAGTTTCCCTCATATGAACTTGGCACATCGTATACGCTCAATAACTGCTGTCTACTACCTTTTCCTTCAGGCTCCGCCAGCGAATACATTGGCTTAAAGGGCAGAGATTCCACACCCCTGAGCACCGCAAAAGGCACCCCAAAGATCAGCCAGTTTGACAGCTGAGAAGGGAAGGAATGTATCAGCGTCACACAGTTTATCAGGTGCAGGGCTGGTGGCTGGGACTCAGGCATCAAATGTCACCACTGGCCACCACCTGCCCTCACAGATTAGCCGCTCAACCTAGTTTAAGGATGGTTCTCAGCATGCCTTCCTCCCCCCAGCCAGTCGTCTGGACACACACACACACACACACACACACACACACACATCTTCTAAGGGGCCTCCGGAGGGACTGAAGCTTGGGAGAACTTACTGTCTCAAATGTGGGTTTTTCCTCTATGCCTTCTCATAATTAAGAACTAACCTCAGCCATTCCATGGGCTCAGGCTATAAATAGTCTTGGATGTAGTTTGTCAATAAACACATGGAAAAAATGTCCACCCTTGCAAGACAGTCCAGACTTGCAAATGGAAACAAGATACCATATTTGCTTATAAAATTTGCAAAGATTGCCATTAAAGTGGTAACGCTGAGAGACGGGCACTCTCAGACATTACCTGGGAGTATACATTGCTTTCAGGAGGCAATTTAGCAAATTGTATCAAACCTTAAAAATCTCTCCCTCAGAAAATCACTGAGAAAGGCTGAAAAGGCTTTATGCACAGGCTGTTCATCTCAGCATAATGTGTAATTGTTTTGTTTTTTTTAAAAAGGGAAACAATCTAATTATCCACAAATAAGGGAATGATTACATTAACTCTGGAGGGGCCACTCAGCAGAGGATTCAAGAGCTATTTAAAACAAATGTTTACTAAAACTTACAGAGACTGGGGGAATGCTTATACTCCAATTGTTAGAAATCAGAAACTGACTGGTATGTATAATACAATATAATCACAATTGTATTTTTTTTTAAAAAATCACTGCATTCAAGCATGACATGAAGAAAAATGTACCAAAGTAGTGACATTTTCCAAGTGTTCTATAATGAGCATATATTACTTTGATTAATTTGTAAATTTTAGGTGTGCCTTTGTTCTTTGGACCTCAAGGGTAGAATTGCATTCATCATAATGGAACATGTTTTACTTTTAGTATTGAAAACATGTCAGAAGCTGTAGGAACAAGGTTTGCATAGCCAGCCTTCCTCCTGGTCTGTTTCCTCCCTGCCCCAGCCAGGCCAGCGCTGCCCTAGTCTTCCCTAGTGTGCCCACTGTTCTGGATGGAGTTCAAAGGCCACTGCTATCGGTTTTTCCCTCTCAAGAAGACCTGGGCCGAGGCTGACTTCTGCTGTTCTGAGTTCTCTGCCAGACTGGCCTCCATCCACAGGTGAGTGTCTTTGGTCCTCCATAGCCCAACCAAGCACCCCCTTTGGAAAGGGGAGTGGAGAATGGTGTTTCCCATTCCCCTTTCAGTGATCAAAACTAACGTTTATCCAGCCCAGTTTCTCATCGACACTGTCCTTGGCGAGAGAAGGCAGAGCATTTAGTAAGAGGGGCAAGAGTGTGCTGAAGACCCACCTTTGGATGTGTCTGTCTTGTGCTGCTCTTTATCACGGGGGGTCGGGCCCTGTATCACCACTCACACGACACATTCACAAAGCATATGCTATAAGGAATAATAGCTGATGTTTATTTGCTAAGTGTCTATATGCATCATCATATTAAACCTCCCCCAAACCAAAGTAGGTAGGTATCTCCATTTTAAAGATATGGACTCTGTGTCTCCAGCAAGGTAAGTAACTTGCTCATGGTTGCACAGCTATGAAGTGGTGAAGCTTGGCTTTGAACCTGAGCAGTTGAATTCCATAGCTCACCCATCAAGGCATCCTTCAGCGTCCTCTCTCTCCTAAGCTCCAGCCACACTGACCATCTCAGAGTTCTCCAGTCTGGTCCAGGACTTTTATGCCTCCATACTTTGCACATTCTGTTCCCTCTGCTGGGAATTCCCATCTGTATCTTCTCCTCCAAGTAGATACCTCCTCAGTCTTCAAGACACGGCTCTGACAACATCTCTCTCTTTTTGATTTTTTACATTTATTTTTGCAATCTTTATTAACTTATTTTTTTTTATAGATGTTTCTCCTTTTTCCCCTCTAGACACCCTCCTCCCAATCCCACCCCCCAAGCATTGTTGTCTATGTCCTTTGGTTACATATATGTGCATGTAAGTTCTTTGGTTTATCTCATCCCTCCCCCCTGCCCCCTTTCGTTGAGGTTTGTCAGTCTGAACTATACTCCTTTCTATGTTTCTGGGTCTATTTTGTTCATCAGCTTATTTTGTTCATTATATTCCACAAATAAGTGAGATCATGTGGTATATGTCTTTCTCTGATTGGCTTATTTTGCTTAGTATAATACTCTCCAGGTCCCTCCATGTCATCTCAAAGGATAAGAGATCTTTCTTTCTTAAAGCTGCATAGTACTCCATTGTGTACATGTACCACAGCTTTTTTATCCACTCATCTATTGATGGATACTTGGGCTGTTTCCAGATCTTAGCTATTGTAAATAGTGCTGCTACAAACATGGGGGTACATATATTCTTCCTGATTGGTGTTTCAGGCTTCTTAGGGCACATTCCTAGAAGTGGGACCACTGGGTCTGACAACATCTCTTCACCAAAGTCCTCCCTGTCTCCGTGGCAGCCTAATTACACTCATTACTCACCTCTTCTAGGGCACTTTTTGTGTGTGTGTGTGGTTAATCCTCATCTGAGGATACTTTTCCATTGATTTCCAGATACAGTGAAAGGGAGGGAGGGAAAGAGAGAAAAACATTGATGTGAGAGAGACACATCGACTGGTTGCCTCCCTCATGGCCCCAGGGGCTGGGAATCAAATCTGCAACCCAGGTACATGCCCTTGACTGGGAATCAAACCTGTGACCCTTTAGTTCATGGTCCATCACTCCAATCACTGAGTCACACTAGCTAGGGCTAGGGCACTTTCTCCATCCAGTTTGATGACCTGTTTTCACAGAGGATGTCCTTGGTGATGTGTGGGTTCCTTGAAGCCAGGTGTGACATGTTCCATTGCCACTCAACCTACAAATTCACAATCTTGCCTCTGTTTTTCAGGAGTCTCAGAGACTTGAAGTTAGAAAGACGGTTGGTTCTTTATGCTTTAGTGTCATGGAGTCTCGTTAAAAACAAGCAGGGGTCCTCTCTCTCTGTTTCCAGCGGAGTCTTGGGCCTTCCCATCTGTTCATCCAGACAGATATGGGGAGCAACCACTATATTCTCGGTGGTGCTGAAGAATACAGCGAGAATATAGGGTCTGACCAGGAAAACAGGAGCCACTACACATATTTAAAATAGAGAGAATTTAATACATACATAGGTGACAGAATCTGAGAACTTAACCAGACGGTCGTGAGGCAACCCAGAGATTCGCAAGAGCAGGAAATCCAACTCCACCTCTAACTGTATGAAGGTGGATAAAATCAGTTCTCAAAAATCCCCAGCCTATAGAGGAAAATGAGGTATATGCAATAAAGAGCTTGCCCTGGCCGGTTTGTGGTTGGAGCGTTGGCCTGTGGACCAAGGAGTCGCGGGTTTGGTTCTGGTCAGGGGCATGTACCTCGGTTGTGGTTCGTCCCCGGCCCTGGTCAGGGTCGTGCGGGGAGGCAACCAATAGATGTGTCTCTCTCACATCGATGTTTCTCTCTCCCTCCCAGTCTGTCTGAAAATAAATGGAAAATTATCCTTGGGTGAGGATTGGAAAAAAAAAAGAGTAAATGGAAAAGTGATTCCAACAGAAGATTTTCCTTTAGCCGGCCCTTGGGAAGGACGTCTCAGCCTGCTTAATCCTACCCAACTCCTGTTCTGCCTCAACTTACCTTCCTCTCTTCTCAACTCCTGATGCCCTCTCTTCCTCTCTTACACTAACATTCTCCTCCTTGTCACTCTTTCATGGGCAGTTTTCCACTTTAGCATAGAATACCTTCCTGAAAACATGACCAAGAGTTGAATCTGAACAATGATTTATAATCAGTGAGGTTTCGTTCCCATAAAACGGGACACTATTATAAAATTCCCGGTCACATCTTGTCTTTGAGACACAATTCGATTCTGTAGTTCTGGCATTTTCCTCATGCTTTTTAATTTTGTCCTTTTCCTGATAATTAAACACACATCAGCTGATGTCCTTGGAGCGTCTGGTTGAAGTTTGAGGTTCTTACACTTTCGGCTTACCTAATGATTTCCATCTTTGTTTCAAGCGACAGCCGGATTGAATTAAGTTCATCTGATCTCTGCTTCGTATGCAATAACACCTTGGGCCTTTCTATTTTCTAATTATTTTGACTAGATATGGGGAAAATGCAATAAAATATTGAAATTGTTTCCCAAGCAGGAGCTGTTTGAACAAAGATGGTGTTAGTGCTAAACTGACCATCCACAGACGACTGTCCAAGTGCATGATCAGCAGGTGATGTAGGAGACCCTGGACTGTGCGTGAGGGGCATTTGCGGATGCCAGTGCTCACCCAGCTGGGGAGGACCAAGGCCAAAGACCTGCTGAACTGAAGAACACTTTGTCCCCAGAAATCGTACCTCTGCTTTTTTGTCTCTTCAGGGTATCGCCGATATAACCCACCTTGTTGGCTAGTGTTTTTGAGGTGGATTTCAATGTTTAGGATGAAGAACATTATTGAGTCCTGCTCTGAGCTGGCATGGGTCAAATCCAGAGGTGCCCATGGAATGACAGCCACATCCAGGTGACCTAGTTAAAGAAGAAAAAGGAGCCCTGGCCGGTTCGGCTCAGCAGTTAGAGCGTCGGCCTGCGGTCCAGAGAGACCCGGGTTCGGTTCCTGCTAAGGGCACGTACCTCGGTTACAGTTTGTCCCCGGCCCTGGTTGGGTCATGCGGGTGGCAACCACTCGATGTGTCCCTTTCACGTCGATGTTTCTCTCTCTCTCTCCCTCCCAGTCTATCTGAAGAAAATATGGAAAAATGTCCTCGGCTGAGGATTTAAATAAATAAAGAAAGAAAGAAAAAAGAAAAAGGAGAAAAAAAGCAGGATTGCATCATATCCTCTATTTACTTTGGTCTAGGAAAATTGACAAGGATTGCTTTCAGACTTCAACCCTTTCCTGTGAACAGAGGCAATAAGTACATGCTGCTGTGTTTCTTACCTTCACAGCTGGGAGGAGGATGTCTTTGTGTATGACCTTGTGAACAGCTGTGTTCCTGGGATCCCAGCTGACATCTGGACGGTGCTCATGACCACAGACAGGTGAGGAAGCCGTGGCCATCAGCCCCTCTTGGAAGCTCCAGCCAAGACTCCATTTTCATTAACCAACCTTCGCGTGGAACTTAGGTACCAGGTCGCTGCTAGGGGCCCAGCAGACAGAGAGAAATCAGACACCAAGATGCCCCGGTTAGAATACGACAAATATTGTGACAGGGGATATGGTGGGAACATATAGTGGGTCCGGGAAGGCCTGTTTGGCTTGGGCTCTTCAAAAAGCAGACACAGAAACATGATTCGATGTGCCAGAGATTTTTGAGAGGAAACATCTGTGAAGGGAAGAGGGGGAGGGGGCACAAGGAGACAGGGATGTCTTCGGACGGCGATGTAGGTCTGAGACCTGTGAAAACAGCGAGGAAGGGAGGACTGGGTAGGAAGAGCCTCAGATCATGCACAGTTGTGAGAAGGTCTTGGCTGGGCCCGTGGGGGTTCCCCAGGCAAAGGATGCCCATGACAGGAAGAGGCCAGCACTAGTACCCCTGACATGCTGGGTAACTGACTAGTGACAGGGCTCAGCCTGGAGAAAGCCTGGTCTGGCTGTGAATGCAGTGGTGGGTCCAAAGGGGCCGGGGAGCTGAGGCGGTCAGTCAGCTGTGCTCCCTTCTGCTGGTCCTCCCGAAGGAGTTTTGAGCAGCGCACGTCCATGGCTGCCACAGCCTCCATGCATAGGAGGCCTTTAAGCGAATGTCTAATGGACAAACAGGAGTCAGCCAGAGGAACAGCATTCCAGGTAGAGGGAACAGCATGCGCAAAGGTCCTGAGGTAAGAAAGATCATGGCACTTTCAAGGACATCGAAGACCAGGGTGTCTGGGATGCACAGGGAGGGTAGGGGTGAGTGGGAAAATAAGAGAATAAGGTTGAAGAAGGTGGCTGGGGCCAGATCTCACACCTGGCAACATCACAGCTGACTCCACCCGGAGGTTCGGAGTCATCCCCAGACTTTCCCTGGGTGAGCTGCATGTGGTCTTTGCTTTGCATGTACGCTTCCAGCCCTGCCTCAGAGCACAGCAGGGGACAGGGTTCCCTTTCCAGCTCCTAGTCTACCACTTAGTGGCTGGTAGGTGACTTCGGCAGTTTTGTGTGTGTTTTATTTATTTATTTATTTATTATTATTTTATTTATTTTTGTACATGACCCTAGCGGGAACCGAACCCAGGACTCTCTGGTCCACAGGCCAATGCTCCAACCACTGCGCAAAACTGCCCAGGGCTTGTGTGTGTTTTTTAACCTCTCTGAGCTTCAGTTTCCTCAGCTATAAAATGGGGGTGATAATAACAGTGCTTTATTGTAAAAAGTAAATGAGCTAATGTATGTAAAGGGCTTAGCCTGACATCATATAAGAACTCATTAAGGATGGTACAAATTGCTTGCAAAGTAGTAGAAGTGACGACTGTGGCCAGACTCCGTAGAGGTAGGTTTTTTTAATTAATAGAATTAATCCATGTGGCAAGAACCCATAAAAAAGTTATAATAAAAAACCCCAAGTTTTCATTTATAATAATAACTTTTAAATTGGATTATGAACACACTTTTTTAGAGTTTAAGGAACTTGTATTACGAGATCTAAGAATAATAATTTTTTTTAAATACAGCAAAAGTGCTTGATTTTTTTTTTCAGGGCTAGGCACCAGGTGCCAGACTCTAGCTAAGTCCTTTGAGTGCTTTAATCATTCGGTCCTCACAATACTTCTCTGAGCGAGGTATCGACTCCGTTTTATAGACTCAGAGTAACTTGTCTAGACTGCAGAGCCAGGAATTGGGTGGAACTGGAATCTCAAGCTCCAGTCTCTCTCTGAAGCAGCAAGCTATTCCCGTTATTTGACGTGGCCTCCATAATCATCGGCGCTTTGGGGAGACTTTTCGAAACATTTGAATAAATGGAGAAATGACTTTTGTTCCAGGACATTGCAAAGATGTACTTCTTTCCACAATTTGCACATTTATTGCAACACCAATCAAATTCCCAACAGGACTTCTGTTGCAATTGGACAGAGTAATTCTTCATCAGGCAAGAAAAATAAACACTATTTGGACTAAAAGCAAAAGGATGAAGGGTGACTCCCACCCACTGGTAAATTATTTTTTTCAGTGTAGTAGTTAAAAGATTTTTTTTTTTTTAATCCTCAACCAAGGATATTTTTCCATTTATCTTCAGATAGAGTGGGAGGAAGAGGGAGGGAGGGAGAGAGAGAAACATCGATGTGAGAGAGACATCGATTGGTTGCCTCCCGCATGACCCCGACCAGGGACCGAACTGCAACTGAGGTACGTGCCCTTGACCGGAATCAAACCCACAACTCTTTAGTCCACAGACCGACGCTCTAACCACTGATCAAACTGGGCAGGTCAGGCAAGATTTTTTAAAAGTTTCGTAGTTAGAGTCTCAGGAAGTGGAGTCAGGTAGACCGTGGCTTGAATCCCAGCATTAATGCTTTATTAACTGTGTGAATTTGAGTAGACCAATGTGAGCCTGAGTTTTCCCACATGCACAACGGAGGCAATGATGCCTGCTTTGCAGGATGGTGAGGGTAAAATGAATAAAGACCTGGCAAGGTATAGCACACACGCTCAACAAATGGCAGCTGGTAACGGTGGCAATAATAGCAGTGTATGAGGGTAAAAGTGAGGACTGCTGCACCAGGATCCCTGCTTTAGAATGTGATCCTTGACCTGGGACTGGCTCAAATGCCCAATATTTCTCTACTTGGTTTACTCCTTGCCTCTGGATGGGCCCCCAGGAAGGCAGTCTGAATGGACCGATGGCTCATCCTATGACTACAGCTACTGGGATGGGAGCCAGCCGGACGAGGCATCCGCGCGGACCCAGAAGAGGAGGACCGCGTGCAGATATGGTACCAGCAGTGGGTGCCCTGAGGCCAGGGCTCTTGCAGGGGTGCTGGGGAGGTGCCATAGGTGGCTGGGAGACTGGCGAATTCGGTCTCCGGGGCATAAGGAGCAGGGCCAGGCTCCATAGTGGGTATGTTTTAAATAGAATTTAACGGTGCATTGTTGACACGCAGACTATGATTTGAGTGGAAAGACATCAGAGGGAGAAGCATGAGAAAAGGACGGTGTTTCTACGTCTGCTCACCAGGGCACCAAAGTGGGAGCCCCGCCCCACACGGGTGACTCTCAGAACAAACTGCCCGGGGAGCACCGAGGGGTCAGTAGCGAGAAGAGTCCGCACGTGGGTTCAAGCCCTAGCCCTGTTGCTTTCTAGCTCTGTGGCCTTGCAGGGAATTACTCATTCTCTCTGAGATTCCATTTCCTCTTTGGTAAATGGGTTTAGTAATTGTCCCTCCCCTCAGGGCTGTTATGAGGATTCAAAGAGGTACCGTTGATGTAGCGCAGTGTGAGAGCATGGACTGGGGTTGCATGCCCTGGTCTGAACCTCAGCTCCACCCCTTACTAATCGTGTAGCCCACGTACATGCCGTAACCGCTTGGTACCTTAGATTCTTCATCTGAAAAATGGGCTTAATGACACTTACCTCCCAGGGTTGATGTGAAGGAAAAAGAAGAACATGTACATCGAGAGGCAGCAGTGGTTAGCACACGGTATGAGCAATCACCACCATCCCAACAACATCGTCACTCCTCACACCAATCTCGAGAAGTAAAAACGATTGTTACTTCCATTTTGTGGATGAGGAAACCAAGGCTCAGGGAAGTTAAACGATTTGTTCAAGGTCACACAGCAAACAAGTAGTAGAGTTGGTTCAAACTTAGATCTATGAAACTCCAGATCCAAATGCTCAAATGCTGGTCCCTTCTTAGTCCTTTTTCCTTTCCTGATTAGGGAAGGAAGGTGTGGAACAGAGACTTGATGTCCTGGGAGCCACGCTTGAGCCTGGTAGCAGAACCGGGTCAAGCCTCTAGGTGAAACTTGTCCTGCCTCTCCAGGGTGGCAAGTCAAGACCTGCCCTATGAGAGAGTAAGGCGGACAGCAGCCTCATCGAGCATCAGCACGAAAGGGATGCCAGTGTAGGCATGAGGCCTACTGGAGAGGGCTTTTACTCCAGTGAGGTGGTGGGGGTACTTTTATTGTGATGGATGGACCTTCACCCAAGTTCTATGCTTCTTCTCATCGCGGCTCTGAGGTCATGGAATGATAACACCTGCAGCCGAAAGTTCCCCTTTGTCTGCAAGATTGCATTTCTGACCATTCACTGACCCAGTCTCGTCCTCTCGGAGTGAGCCCAGCTCTTACATCTTCTTGTAGCTGTGCCTAGTGTAGAGCTGACACTCAATAAATGTAAAACACAGAGGAGGTAAACCTCCCAGACAGAGATTTTAAACAAGCAAATCTTGACACAGAGTGGTATTTGGGCACAAGTGGCAGAAAACCCAATTCAAACTGGCTTAATAGATTGAAAAGGGTGATGGATTTATTGGTCCAAGGAACAAAGGGCCAGGGGTTGATGTAGATTCGGAGCTGAGTGTCACTGGCCTGGCTCGTGAGCCAGAAGCACTCACTCTGGAGCAGCTGCTTGGCCAGGCGTAGACACTCACTGCTGGGGCCGAGAAGGGAGGGGTCAGTGTCATCAACCACCTGGGCCCACAGGGGAGGGTGATTCCCTGCAGGAAAGTGAAAATATCACCAAACTCATGCATTGCTGATGGGAGTGGAAAATGGTGACACCATTCTGGAAAACGGTTTGGCGCTTATTAAAAAGTTAAATATAGAATTACCAGATGACCCAGCAATTCCATTTCTGGGTATACAGTCATCCCTCACCACTTCGCGCTTCGACTTTCATGGCTTCAATCTATTGCGGTTTTTTCAAATATATTCATTAAAAACTTGATCAAGCCCTGGCCGGTTTGGCTCAGCGGTTGGAGCGTTCAGAGAGACCCGGGTTCGGTTCCCGCTAAGGGCACGTACCTCGGTTGCAGTTTGTCCCCGGCCCTGGTTGGGTCGTGCGGGTGGCAGCCACTCGATGTGTCCCTTTCACGTCGATGTTTCTCTCTCTCTCTTTCTTCCTCTCTCTCCCTCCCACTCTATCTGTACAAAAAATGGAAAAATGTCCTCGGGTGTGGATAAAAAAAAGAAAGTTGATGGAGACAGTGAAAATGATACAGCGCATGCTCCGTTGTCTGATTCAGTTATATACCCCTTTATTACAATTAAAATTAAAATTACCGTATGTATGGACTGTAGACCTGTGTATTCGAGCACCCCAGGAATCCTTCAACGCCTGGTGCAACCGCTCGAGTCTGGAACGGATTAACCGCGGTAAACGAGGGACGACTGTATATACCAGAGAATTGAAAGCAGGTGGTATTCAAACATGAATGGTCATAGCAGCATTATTTATAATAGCCCCCAAAGTGGAAACATCTTTGGAGGTACCGCCCAGATGGCCCATCTCCTTGTCAAGGTCCCAACAAGGGCCCTGACTGGAGCATGACAAACTGCCTTGGGTGGGAGCTTAACTGCCTTTGAAGTTTGGTCACTGAGCCCTGGGCTTAGCCTGCCGCCCTGCCACAGGAGATGAGAACTTCTCAGTCTGCAACCAAAGAGTCTCTTGGATTTCACTCCTGGAGCAAGTACTTGTCCTGGACTGTTTCTTATGTTTCTGTGGAGCATGACGCCTTGTAGCAATAGCCATCCAATCTAGTTATGCTTAGAGAGACCGGTTTCTCCGTTCATCAGCTACCTGATACATCACTCCTGCTAGTGCACTCCCTCCCCCGGGACACCCTCCCATACACTCTCTGGAAGTTTGGACAGTTGGACATCGCCTTGTGCCAGGAGCTGTCTGTTCCCACCCACGCCAGTCGCCAGCCTGGAGGGAAGCGATCCGGCTCCTGGCCCCATCGGGTGGCCTGCTTCCTCGGACTGCTCCCGTGTCAGTAGTTCCAGAGCAGGTCTCTGGAAGTGCTGCTGAGACAGAGTCTGGAGCAGATGTTTATTAGGGACTAACACTTGCGAAGAGAAGGCAGAGGAAGGAGTGGAACTGAATCGTGGCCTGACAGATTACCTGCCACCCTGCCAGGGAACTCTGGGGCAGGTATTAGCCATCAGAGTCGAGTGGGCCACACAGGGCTGAAATGGCCAGCCCTTCAGATCCGGACTTCACTCAGTCACTGACGTGGGCTTTCCCCAAAGGATGGGACTTCAGTGAAGGCAGCTCGCTGTGGCTGAGGCTGACTCTGAGGAGAAGATGGCTGGAGGTCCAGCTGCCCCCTTCCTTAAAGGGGCATCTGGGTGGTACACATCTGTGTTATCACATCTGAAATAAAAAGCTCATGGGTTCAAATCCCACCACTGCCACTTATTATGTGACCTTGTGGAAGTGGCTTAACCTTCCTGAGTTGCAGTTTTCTCCTTCAAAAAAAAAATGGAAACAATTTTTAATATTTTTTAATGGAGTACTACGCAGCTGTAAGAAAGAAAGATCTCTTATCCTTTGAGACGACATGGAAGGACCTGGAAAGTATCATCCTAAGTGAAACAAGCCTAACAGAGAAAGAAAAGTATCATATGATCTCACTTATTGGTGGAATATAATGAACATAACAGTCTGAGGAATGGGGTAGTCCCAGACATGTGGAAGTGGGGTACAGACTGACAATCCCCAGAAGAGGGGGTGGTGGGGGAGAGATAAACCACAGAACTTATATGCATGTATGCACGAACAATGGACATGGACAACAAAGCTGGGGACAGGGCGGGGAGGGGGGAGAGGGGGAATCAGTGGGGGAAAAGGAGAAACATCTGTAACAAAAATTAATTAATAAAAAAAAAAAAAATGGAGACAGTCCCTTCCAGCTCTCACAGTGATTTATCAGGCAGTTTTGGGAAATAAAAAGTCTGCATAGGTGACTTCTCCAGAAAACTAAAACTTCCTCCTCAAACATCACAGCTATCTCTGTTTTTTTCTGCTTTGGCTGGAAATCTCTCTAAACCATCTTGTACATTTCCCTGCTTTCTACAACAGAAGATACCAAGAGAATTCGTCTTGTCATGATGACTCAGGCTCATGTGGGCTGCATCTACTTCAGGTGTTTTTGCCTCCTGTCATCATACCTGGGTGTCATTGTGCCTGTCTCTGACAGCTCACAGAATCCCACATTTTCTTTAGTGCTGAGGTGCTGTGGAAGGGAATAATGAGAGAGAGAGAGGGAGATCAATGATAAATGACGGACGCATGGATGGATGCATGGAGAGATGAATGGATAGATGGAGATGATAGATATTTATAGAGATCCAGATGATGGATGGGTGGGTGGGTGGATGAATAGATAGATCGATAGTCCGATAGATAGGTCGATAGATAGACAGACAAGAAGGCAATGAGGAACCAACTCTAAATTTCAAACTGGGAAGAGAATTGAAAACACAGAAGGCTGACTGCAGCCCCCGGGTCATACACAGAAGGGTGGGACCACGCCTCTTCCCTGTGAAGGGCCCTTGGAGGAGGCACATTTCTCCTGTGCTCAGTTGATAGGTTGAGGGTTCTCTGTAGAGCTGTAAAAGACACTCAGGAGATGTGTCAACTTTCAACTTCCAAATAAACAGACGGGGCAGAGTTCAATGATTTGCCCAATTTGAAGGAATGAGAATAGTTTTTTTTAAAAGTCAGAGCTCTGTTATTTTGAAGCAAATTTCAGAGCCAACAGGCCAACATCTGTCTTTTTAAAGAGGGTCCGCCCAGCTGGGGTGCTCTCTTGAGGAAGCCTTATTTTCCCTCTCCTGATCTTCACAAGCATATTAACATGTTAGCTTGTTAACAGAGGAGTCCAGGGCTTTCTTTTCCAACCCAGGTTTAGCCACACAGGGCTTCTCCCTAACATCTGATGGGTGTCAGGGACTTGAGCCATGGAAGCTCATTTCTTTCAACAACCCACCACCAGAGCTCTGCCAACCGCGTGTGATAAACGCGAGCATCTTCTGTCATCTACGGTGAGGTGAGATGGGGGATGAACAGTGTTGAGGACCATTGCCCTAAAGGAACTGCCGGTTTGATACATCATGGCACATTTGTTCTGTGAACTCTACGCAGCCTTCCCGTACAGATTCAGAACGTTGTTGTGGCGCCAGAGAACCAAGAGACCACCAGAGCCCAATTAAAGCCAAATAGAGAGCAAAGCCGGCCAGTGACTCATCCCGAGTTCTCGGAGACCAGCCCTGGGGCCTCCAAATGTTGTGGTGCGACAGAGTCACAGAAAGACCACTAGAGAATTGAAGCGCAAATAAGAGCCGTTATTAGCCGGCCGGCGTCTGATTCCGAACACCCCTGTGACAGAGTCTTCGGAATCAGCCCCGATGTGCTTTATCACATGCCTTTTATACCTCACAGCAAATAGGATCTTCTTGATGTAATGCCCAGGGCCACAGCAATGCTGTACAGAATTAGTTTGCCTTACGGATAACAGGCACACCCAGACACACCCAGGTACACTCAGACTCACCCAGACACACCCAGGTACACCCAGGCATTTCAAGGTACATTGGGTCACACTTAGACCTGAGCTGCACAAACACAATGCAAGCCTAATTCCTTGAGATTGTGGGGGAGGTCGAGTCTCTGACTCAAGACCTCCAGGCTCCATGGACTCTGTCAGACGCGTAGCCAGCTCCCAACAATTTCTTGGTTCAGGGAGTATTTCAATTTACTGAGGTTATTTTGACTAAACAGGTTCAGCTAGAGGGTACACAGTGACTTTCCCAATCATCAGTTTGGGAGCTATAAACAAGTCAGCACAATAATTTACCAATCATCAACTATGAGGTTAAAAACATGCCAACACAACATGTCTAGGGCATAGTGTTGAGGGATAAAAGCAAGTTGCAGAAATATGCATAAAATATTATATCATTTACAGATCTAAAATCTCCCCCACCGGATTATACTACTAACTTCTACAGACACATATGTCTGTAAATATGGAAGGATTCACGCAAAAGTGTGAAATTAAGGACCTCACAAAATAAGCTGTCGATCAAAAGAGATCCAGAATCATGGAAGTAGGGAACAGACTGACAAACCTCAGAGGGATGGGGGGTGGGAGGGGAGGAAAGAGACAAACCAAAGAACTTATATGCATGTATGCACAACCAATCCACAAGGACACTAGGCTGGGGAAGGCAGGAGGGGGTTGGGACCGGGAAGGAGGGGGTCAGTGGGGAAAAAAGAGGGACATCTGTAATTCCATCAACAATAAAA